TACCTGAGCTAACACTGTGTACACGAACAGTGCAAGCTATAGGCTGCATTGTAAGAAATAGAGGCCGACACTTCTGCATCTTAATTGTCTACAGATCACCAAGCGCTAGACCGGAGGATGATAGAGCTATACTAAATCTAATTGCCGCAGTCAGTTATTCCCAACGCTAGCTGATACCGAAGAGAAGAAATCGTTTACGTACTGTGAAGCTGTTCAATTGAGTGCGTATTTTACACAGAAAGGCGAAAAACCACTCCGAATGGATAAACGGTCAATCGGTAGTCTACTACCGGATTTCTTGCGTCGCCTCCCGGTCACCATAGTAGTCGCAGGGTGTTGCGTTGATCCTCTTGTATTTTAACTTGAAGGAAAATTTCTTGTGTCAGCTGCCACTGCAATTGCTACTAGCTGGAATTGGTTGAGTACTTCGATTAATAGAGTGGTCCAATAAGGTCCCTGTAACAGAAAGTCATTAAACAAGAGACCGCCATATCGCGCTGCACAATCAAATACCCCTTACATCTTTGCTGGCTTTCTAGGGTTTGTTACCGGGTGGTATGGTAAGTACCGCAGTCGTTCCCCGCATGGTTTTGATACATCCACTCGCTCAATATATATATATATATAAAAGCAATAGGAACCGAACCCCACTTTCGATTGTGCCACTTAAGACAGTAAAGGCAGTGGGGCGACCGCTCAGCGCAGAAAGCCATACGCAGGTAGTCCCTAGAGTGAAACCGAGGCAGAAGAAAATACTACCGTCTCCCCCAACTGAAAACGTGGATCAAACGGTGACGCCGATAGCAACCTCCAGGTCTACTCAGACTCCAGAGTCTAGAAAAGCTGGAATAGGGACATAGCCCGGAGAAAAGGACGTATGATAGATGTTCAGTGGGCACCGAAACTGGAGATAACGGAGGCTCGGTTATCGAAATGGCATCTAGCCCAACCAGGATGAAGTCCTTCGAAAGGAAGAGTAACTGCTCTATGCAGGTCGTAGAGCGGACTATTAAGTCAAAAAACGTAGTTGGCACTGATAAGTTGAGTGAGAAACACACACAGGCACCGGTTTTCCAGCCGCACAGCCTAAAGCTGTGGTACACAAATGTGTGCAGCGTTGGAACAAATGGGGTGAGCTAGCGATTAGCAGCCAGGATTGCGATATTGTGATCCTTACTGAAACATGGTTATCTAAAACCATACCAGTCTCTTCAAACGGATAGGGAGGGTGGGCGCAACGGTTAGGTCTTTTTGCTCGTTCGTCGGCAATATATCCAGTGGAAAATACCTGAGCTAACACTCTGTGCACCAACAGTGCAAGCTACAGACTTCACAGTAAGAAACAGAGGCCGACACTTCTGCTTATTAGCCGTCTACAGATCACCAAACTCTAAACCGGAGGATGATCGAGAGCCAATGGATCTCATTGCCGCAGTCAGTAGGGGAAATCACTCACTGATTATAGTGGGGCATTTCAATCTCACCGAAATGGAATGGCAGTATGAGGACGAGGGAGAGGGCCAAGCAGAAGAAGAATTCATGAACTGCTTCCATGCGGCATCGCTCTGCCAGCACGTGAAAGAAACAACACGTATCCGGTTAGGGCAGAAACCGTCTAACTTAGATCTGGTCCTCACGCGGCACGACAGTGAGATCAGCGACCCAAGGCAGGAGGTTCCTCTCGGTAGAAGCGATCACAATGTACTGTTGCTAGAAACATGCATTGCGAATGAAAAGCCACCCCGCAGGTGGTGTCGCAATTTCGGGTGAATGAACGTGGAGGACTTGTAGCGTTTCTTTAACCGATAGTTTCGCAACGGCAGTTTTCTTTTCTTATCTCTTGTCTTCTCTAAGCTTCTTGATAGATCCATTCAAGCTGGACGTGATCATCGAACCACGTACCAGAAGTACTTTCACCCTACGCTGGTGACTAACAACAGGATAC